AGCAAATGTTGAAATGGCTCGTTTGTTTTCTAGATATAAAAGTAGCTTCATTATCTGCGGACGTTTTGTTGAGCTCTCCTTTTGCTGGTCGTGGTAGGAGTAGAACCACGATGTGAGTTGCTATATTGGCAACCTCATGAAACCAAATTTGTAGTTCGTGTACGGATGAAATAAGTTTTATATTACTCGAGAGCAAAAATGTTTCGTGTTCAAATGTTTCCAATCTTGCGTTGTTGATATTCACAGTTATTTATTTATCTTTCAACTATATATAATAAAATAGGGAAGTAGGAACTGGAGCTCACGAAAAAGTGTGCAGATAATACTTTTACCTCATAAATCAAACACAAATTTTTTGACACTAATGACAGAAAACAAAATGAATAAAATATTAAAGATGAATTTGTAGAAATAATATTAACCGTAATATAAAGATTTTATATAAAACACTGACAAATTTATTATATAAATCTTTTTTTCCCTTCCATGCGTCACATACAGTTTATAGTGGCTTTTTGTTACGAATAATAAATCAAAATGTTCTTCTTTACGACAGAACGACACTTAAGTGTTGTTCTTCAACTTATACCCAAGAGCAAATTTTTAATTTTTGGCTGTTTGTGAGTATATTGTAACTTTCTTCTAATAGATAGATTTTATTGTTCTAATTTATCTCTTCCCTCGTTTAGCCATCAAGGATGTTGTATTCTTCAACAGGTTATTTGTTGTTGTTCACCTCTATTTCTTTGTCTAGGTTTATCATTTATCTTTCTTTCAGGTTTTTCTCTGAGATGTTTCTCAATTTCCTGTTTACTTTCTAGTTTCCTATTTCCCTTCTCCTGCGTTGACGCCGTCGTCTCATGTGGCTACGCGACTCGCACTTTCGCTGCCCTTTTTTTAAGGTTTTCTCAGGGTGCAGTTGAACAACGCACTTGATGTCGCACTCCGCGCGGTTTCTTATCTCTCCATTCTGTTTTCTCGTCACTCGTGCGCTTATATTCACGGTCCTCGACCTGTCTATATTGCTTGTTTCTAATGTATAAAGAAATCAAAAGAAAACTATGACTAGGTCAGTGTGTTTATAGTTTCGTAACATTCACAAGAACAACAATGCAATAGTTTCGATTTTGATTGAAAAATGTAAATATTTGTTTGTGTTATTCATTTAATCCGCATACTGGCTGAATTCTTATACAGTGCGCCACTGCTTACGAGAAGTTGACTTACGACAGCAAGGTTCTACTGACAAGGCAGACCACATTAAATATTTTGTATTCACTTCTTGAGTTATTTAACAGCAGCGAATTTATTTATATTCTCGGTAGAATGTAAAAACATTTGTACTGTAAATATTCTATACTATGTTATTTAAATAGATTGAAGATTGTTTTTGTTAAAACGTGTAATTTATTGGAAATCTATACGAGACTACTTTATTTGTAGTTCTTGAGCAGTGCGTGTGTGCTACTTTTTGAAAAAAACCTTTTTGTGTGTTTTGTTCAGCAGCTGTTTTCCTGCAGCATCCTCTTTTCTATTTTTTTTATTTGGTTCATCCCGGTATCTCTCGGTGCATCTCACCCGTGCCGACGCTCTTGCTGAATCACCACGTTCACTTCCGCCGTGGTTCTATATTCATTTCCGATTGCCCTGGTATTGCAGTCCGTTGGTTGGTTCAGTTCGAATTTCCGGTAAGGTGTTTTTTCCCTTTATCACATATTGCCGCGTCCCGATGCACCGCTATTTTGTAACGATGGTATTTTGTAGTCTCTTCGTAATTCACAGATTAAGAAAAAATAATGGAGTAATATATATTTTTTATAAAACCTTCATAGACTCTTCATTTTCCCTTTAGGAATAGGAAAAAAGGATTTATTTTATCATCGTTTTGGTTGTAATCAACTTTCAGTACACAAGTAATTATTTCGTGTTTCTTTCGTACACATTTCATGAATTCTCTAATACAGATTCAAAATGATATGGTAATTTTCTTTCAGTTGCTATTGACTCCTGAAAACAACTCAACTACAGCCACAGCTTGCATATATTTTCTCTCCTCCTTTCTCCTCCCTCCTCTTTGCTTTTCTAACTGAATGCACACTAGTGAGGACCATGACTCCATACCCCCCACGACGCCCTCAGTTTGTCACTCATATTCGCTCCCTGTGCGTTGGAAACTCTCTCGTGTATTCTCCCTCGCTCTCTCTTTCTTTCTTTCTCTCTCTCTCTCTCTCTCTCTCTCTCTCTCTCTCTTTCGTGTTGTTCCTTCCCTCTGCGTTGCAAACACTCTCGTCCTCTCGCGCACAGGGCCGTCGCGAGCGGCGCGGGGCGTCGCGTCGGCTCCTCAGCTGGCGCCGAAGCGAGCGAGGCGTCGTCCACCGCGAGGCAATCGACGGCGCGGGGCGGCCACGCCCCTCTGCCACCCACGCGCGACACAAGAGGGTTTCCGCGCAGGCCGCTGCCATGGCCACCGCTCTGCCGTCGCCCCTGCCAAGGCGGTGGAGGAGGCGGTGGCACCGCTTCCAGGAAAATGTGCAAGCGAAGAAGGCACAAGTGAAGAGGGAGCTCCGACGGTTGATATGTTCGTTTTAAAACAGAGGTTCTCAAATGTTCCCGGCGTATCTCGGTCTCTTTACGGTTGAAATTACGGAACACCCGACTCTGAAACTAAATTCTTGAAGAAAGAAAAAAAAACACACTGACAGTATACGTCCCCATTTCCGGTTGAAGCTGGTCTTCCAACAAGGAGAAAAAAATAACAAAACACTTAGAAGATTGTGTGAAAGAAATTAGTGTTTTTGTTTGATCTCTAATTGACTCTCAAAATTCATAATTCTATCTTCTTTTACTATTATTGTATATGAATAACTTAATTGTGAATGATTGCAGCGTATCTACCCAATTGCAAAGATCACAATATCGCAAAGAATGACCATTTAAGATAGAGGAAGATGACGAATATTCTGGAGGAGGATGACAAATGACAACACAAAGGGACAAAACAGAATTAACGATGATTTTAAAAAAATACAGTCATACTACTCAATAGAGGATCGAAGTTGTATTCTCAGACAAACATCGTAGCTGGCGATCTGTAGCGGTGTGAGTGCCACGGCACAAAAAGTATTGAGGAAATGCCGAAGATAACGCAGAACGAGCCGTGGGGGGGGGACGTGAGAAACGCGAAAGAGAGACGTGACTGGAGCTGTGAGAACGGGCGCGAGGCGAGCGACAGACGGGAGCGATGCCATTCCGCGATGCCGCCGCGATCGGCTCTCTTCTCCTGCC